CCCACTTGCCATGGAGGTTTGGGCGCCGACTCCCACCCAAAAAAAAAAAAAAAAAGGATTGGGAGGTCAACTCCCAATCCCCCAGGGGAAATTGGAAGGACGACTCCCGTCCGACAACCCCTTGACCAAAATGGGAGTCGTCGTCAAATTTTTGGGAGTCGTTTTTCCAACCCCCTTAATATATTCAAATCCTAGTTACAATGCTGAATTTTATATTTCAGCCTTTTAACCTCCTGACTAAACTTATGGAGGGTGATGGTCCTACAGGTGCTTTTGTCTTGCTGAACTATTATTCTACAATCTCAACTTTGAAGAAGAAAGAGGACAAATGCAGCCGAGGACACGCAATGCATCCAATGTATGTTAAAATGATCAAGAAACTCGAGATCTACCAAGACGAGGCGCTCGAGTGTGAAACTCTCATTATGGCTACCTTGCTCCACCCGTCATTCCGATTAGGGCTATTCACCCATTGCTGGCCTGAAAAAGTGGACGTGGCCAAGAAACTTCTGGAGAAAGAATTTGTGAAGCGTGTGGAGGTTCTGAAGAAGAAGAAGGAAGACGATATTCAAATAGTCAAAAAGAAAACTCCTCCGGTTGAAGAAGATGACATTTTTGAAATGTTCAGCAAGCCTGCAAAATCAACAGAAGAAAACAAAGAGCTCGAGGTATATATCAACAACATGGATCGCCTCCCAGCAATCTCTACGAAGTGTCCCAAAGCGCTTTTGTTATGGTGGAAGGTATGAATTTCTCTTTGTTTTTCACCTGCATTAAGTTATTAATCTCATTATGATTTTCTTTTTTATTTTTATTTTTCAGGATCATGCATCCACCTATCCGGTTCTTGCATCGTTAGCCAAGGACTACTTGGCATCTTCTGCATCCTCATGTGCAGTTGAGCGTAATTTTTCCTCAGCTGCTGATGTTTGTTCAACTGGACGTGGATCATTAAAACCACGAACAATTGAAAGGTGTGTTAGTAGTCATATGTGGTTGAAAGAAGGTATTCAAGTTTCTGGTGATTATGCAAAAGCACAAACAGTTGTTAGATCTTACATGGATTTTTCCGAAAAGAAACAGTAGAATATTTTCCATCTGTGTTTTTTTACGCTTTTACTATCTCTTTTTATCACTAATGCTTGATCATGCTTAGCCAGAAAAAAAATTCTTCCAGTTAGTTTTTCTTTTTATTATTTATTCCTAAACATACCTAACCAAAAAAAAAACCAAAAAAAAAAAAAAAAAATTGATTTTTAGTTGATGATTTGTCCTGCTCCAGAATAAATGCTTGGTTTTTTTCTTGCTTTTTTCCCAAGTAATTACCTGAAAATCATTTTTTGATGACCATTTCCCATCACATCTGAGCCCCCTACACATTATTATGACTCAGTTTTCAGTTACGCTAACAGTTAGTGTAACTTTTTGATCAGTTACGCTAACAGTTAGTGTAACTTTTTGATCAGTTACGCTAACAGTTAGTGTAACTGAGGGGATCACTACGCTAACCGTTAGGGTAACTTATCAAAAAGTTACCCTAACAGTTAGTGTAACTTTTTAGCCCACTAACCACGCTACAATTCCACTAACAAGGGATTTGGTTAGTGTTAGTTTGGATTTTTTTCAGTCAGCTAACGCTACACTAAAGTTTTTTTTTATTTTTTTAGAAATCCTGTAGTGCTATTGGCCCAAAATTTTCGCTAACAGTAACTTTTTTGTAGTGTAGCTTAAAAAGCTAACACTACGCTACACTAACACTACAGTTAGCGTAACTGGCCCACCGTTGACACATAGAGCAAAGAAAAAAGAGGATGGTTGCGCTACCTCATACAAGTACAACAACAACAATAACAACGAAGAAGCAACAAACCGAAAGGGCGAAAAACGAAGTACCGTGCTTTCAGAAGGTGATGATGCAGGACGAGAACTTGAAAGTATGTAGACATATTATATATATATATATCAGACAAAGCGATAATCCATGTCCAACTGTTTCCTTCTTTACCTCTGAGACAGACCGACCAAAAAAAAGAAGAGAAAGATGCAGATAACATGGAAGAAAAAAAGACGTCTATATCTATCTATGTATAGATTTTTGTGGTTGGTTTTGACTTTCAAGCTTATGAAAGAATGGTAGATAAGACAAAGCTTGGACTCTTTTCGATCATAATAATGGTATGAAAATAATGAGAAAAAGGTAGGAGAAGGGTGAGGATAATGCGGGGAAGGATCAGGGACAGATTTGGAGGTCCGTACAGGGTGATGGTAAGGGCTCGTTGTGCCATGCAATATGACTATCGAAGTCTCAGTACCAAGTCAGAAAGAGAGAGAATATGCAAAGCAAAAGATCCGAGTCAATTTTTGTCGATTATTAGTGGACTTGAGGAATGGGGAGGGAAGGAAGGGCTTAAAAGAAAGGACGAACCAATTGTAACAGAGCGGTTCAATGTCCTCTTTTTTATCGACGATCAAGCCTATAAACTCATTCTCACCCCCGCTGATATCGGTTGGCCAATACCTTGTCCCAATGATAGTCGATGCAAGGAGTTCAGAGGCGAAGGCGAAGGCGCCGTTGTCGACGGGGAACTTGCGATCCTGGACGGCCCCGGCCTCCCAACGGAGGAGGGTGTGATCAGAGGGGTCGTAGACCGGGCCTTCCCAGCCATTGGGGCCGAGGTTGTCCATCGGCCAGACCCCGATCCGTTGGACGTCCCAGATGATCACCAACAGTTCGGGCAAGAAGTTGAAGTCGTCATCGATCGAGATGATCGGTCCGTGGCCAAAGAATCGCTACAGAGGTGGCCTTAGATTTGTCGGAGAACAGAAGAGAGATGGTTCGAACCATGGGCAAACTGACAAATGCAATGGGAGAGGAAAACCTCGAGATCCGATGTAAATGGACCACCCCCAACCGACGATGCAATATGGGAAATAATATGCTCTGGATGACCAGAGCAACCACTCCGTTCGAACTAAGTGTCAATCCTGATAATGTGGTGTAAAATTAGAAGGACCGACTCAGCATGCCTTCGAGATTACCGTGTAAAGTGTTGTGAAATCCAAACTCGCAAATTTTATGCATAATCAAATATGCATCCTCGCATATCTTCGTGACATCCAGATCCATTGCGTCATTCCTTCTCTTCTGCAAGCAACTGCATCCTTCGCCGATAACTTTCATCTTCCCTTCTTTATCAGTTGCTCACCACAAATCCAATCATCATCAATCAAAATCTTCCGAGGTCTCATTCAATCGCTGATCAATCAAGTTACAACACTCGACTCATCGACCAACCACTTCTAACATTCAGGAGGAGCTAGATCTAGCTTCTGGGCAGGTAGCGTGGTTTATGCTATTCTATCTTTGATTGTTAATTGTAATTGACCGTTTCTTTTATTATTCTTTCAGGCTTTTTCGTTGTGATAATCCTCGTGTTAAAGAAGTCGACGTCGTTGTGTTTTCGTGTTTTTAACTTTGTTATATTCTGATCTCATTCATCAGGTATTTCTTTCTTCAATTTCTTATTGTTTTTATCTGATAATGAATCATGTTTACTTATCATTACTTTTTGTTAAAGATTATTACTTCTATTAAGTTTTATAATATTATTTCTATAAAGTATTGATTCAACCATTTTTACATAAAGAGCTTCTAGTCAGGCGGGTTGAGACAGAGAACTGACCAATTTGATCGAGAGTCAATCCGAGCCCACCATCTTCCACGCCTGAGTTCAACAAATGTAAAGATTGGAATGGTAGGTTCAGTGATACTCTTCCCAAGACGCTTAACAAGCAACATATGAGAACTGCCTAGGGCTGTATGAGAATAATGGGATGATGGCCATCCAAGCCGAATTCTCCAGGGCCATGAACCCAAAACTGATCAACAGAGTCACCAAGTCGCGTGTCAATAATTCTTTTAGAGTTCGGGCTCGTTCAGCCGGATCTGGTCTTTCCTGGTCCTCCAGACTATCCTGATGGGATATCTCAGCAGATCGTTTCTGTGGCTTGAGGACTTTACTTGGTAAAGTCTAAAGGGGAGAAGAAACTCTATTTTGATTAATCTTAAGACTTGGAAAGTCACCTCAGGAATCACGAAGAAGGAAGCGCTAGTTGAGAATGATGATCGCACACACCTCCTCCAGATACAGTGTGCCTAGGACGACAGCCAAGACGTTGAAGAGTCCCGCCAAAAGACAAGGGACGAAGTAAGTGTCTGGCGAAGATCGAGTGCGGATATTGCTTGGCGGGCTCGGCTGTGTATCCACCAATCGCCGGGCCAATCATTAATCCGATGGCCCAACATAACGGAAGAATCGGGAAAGCCCTGGGGAAAAAAAGAAGGCTCAGAAGGGTGCATTTTCTGGATTTTAGGCGAGACGAGCAAGCACAGATACGCACCGGGCTTTGTTACTTTCATCCGTGATCTCAGCCATCGAGCTCTTTTTGTTTTCGTAAACACCACGGTATGAGTCTTGTTGTGGTATATGTCTGGACGAGAGAAAACGGTCTAATTACGTACCTTGACCACGGCGATGTTTCCTGTGGTCGACGAGCGGAGATGGGAGGGAGAGGATCAGCCACGCTGTAGATGAGTGTGGCGAGATTATTCAGAGAAAGAGGAATTCTTGCGCATCGAGAAACTTTTCGTCCCGTCTTGCCCTCCCTTCGGAGCCATAGGATGCCCAAGAAACCCCTGGTCTCATCCGCCAAACGGTGAACCTTTGCCGGCAGGGCAGCCACAAGCCAACCTCAAAGCAGGATCCCATAGCTTTCAACAGGCTCAGCCTCATGTCACTACCATAGCAAACTGTAGTACCAAAACAATCTCCATCAGCAGCTATCACAGCAATCAATCCACTCGGATTGGAATCCTTCATTTGTGCTACCCACTGCTTTCTCTCAACACTTGTTACAAGGCTTATCTCTGTAAAACGGAATCTGGTTTGAGGTGAGCCAGACCTAAACATGACACCAAAACAACGAGAAGAATCACTCCATCACAGGCGTGATTTTTGAGTCGCAGGAAGGTGTTGCGAAGGCGGGAAGAAAAACCCACGCTGCCCCTGAAAACCTGCAACTACTGAAAATTCTGGGGGACCTTTCTTTACATCAGAAATTTAGTTCTAATCCCCACCCCGCTACGAACCAGGAAGTGAATGCAATGAGGCGAGACAAGTCCAAACCAGCTTCATGTCCTACTGGACGACAGCACGTGCTTCTCCGGGGTCCAAGTTTCGGTCGGGTTTGGCATTCGCATGGTTCGTCATCTTTCAACACCAGCTGCCAAGTATCTCGAGGACACTAGAAGATCGCGATATGTGTGTCAGGCTGTCGGGGTGTGGCAGGATTTCGGTGCTGCTATCATACCGCCAGCCAACCCGTCTGGTATCCTGTTAGGCTCGAAACACAATGACGGAAGCTAGCTTTCTCCGGTAACATGTCAGGATTCCGGGTGCTCCCATATCTGCCCTGGCGGCTCAAGGATGCACTGGATACACGGATGATCATAGATGCGTACCGGAGTGGAGAAGACTATAAAACCTGCCTTGTCTCTACCCATTGGATTCGTGCCCATCACATCTTCGCCAGCCAAATCAAGAGAAACTCCTTTCGATCCTTTCCAAAGCCTCACCAGAGTTCAAAAGTTAAATCTTTCCTCTTGAGACGCCCAATTCAGTACGTGGCCTTCTCACCTAGTCTAAAAGCCCACCGAACATTGAGTATCCCGTCATTCGTTGAATTCGTTGAATGATATACCGCTCTGACTGAAAGGCGGAGGGACAGAACTGACGGAATCGCGCGCGAATTTTGCAGGTCCTGAGCAGGGCAAGATATATCGATCGATCTTATTATAATATCAGCTTCAAAAGGTTTCCAGTAATCCTCCCCAACTGTCCCAAAAGTATTTCGGAAATTCTCCATCCATTCCAAAAACTCCATAGAATAGTCAGACTTACTTATCTGCACCATCCATCCCATGGTTAGGAATTCTTCGTATCCGCGATGAAAATCACTTATCTCAGTGGGTGCCTTGTGCTCATTGTTACCATATTAGGAAGCGGCAATGTTTCCGGGACGGAATCATGCGTTAAAAAGGTGGAATATGCTCGAGGCAAATGCGCGACCAATGGCTGCTCGACGATTGTGGACGACGGCCAATATACGTTGAAGTGTGATGATCCACGTTGTCGCAACACGGACTGTGGCACATCTTATCAATCCTCCGGGAAAACTTGCAAAAAGTGTCTAGTTAAATGTATGTAAATATATCATAGCGGAAGTCTTTATTGTGAACGATTCAAGAATTTTACTGAACGACCTAATTTCCGGGTGTGGCAGCGACGGCTGAATCGTCTTCACAGGATCGATGAAAGTGTGCGAAGAACAAATTTTAGAATGTATATATTCGGATCTGCTAGAATGATAATTAGATATTAAAAGCAATATAACACACGACAAAGGAGGGTATTTATATCCAAGACTTAAAGGATGTGACCCGGAACCTGATAACCCAGCAGTACTCGACGGGTACCGAGTCGAGTTTCTTCTTCTCCCCTCACTCCTACATAGTCTTATGTACACACTCCCTCAAAATACACAGTTCTATTGGTTCAACTTCCACTCCAGGGAAATTGAACTTAGATACAGCATTCTTCTTCCCCATGCTATTGATAGAAAAATTGAGTTGTATTGCCCCTGGGCTCAAAAAAAAGGGTGAAGGGGCTCAACGGGATATGGATTGTGTGGAATCCTACTTGATGGAAAAAACTGAGTCTGAATGGTGCCAATTGATTGGTTTTTCCTCAGTATCAGTATCACTCTTTGCACACTTAGGTTCAAAGCGGGATTACTTCACAACTAGATGAATTGCTGCAGCTTCTCTCGGATGCGTACATAAAGCCTTGTGTAAACTAAGGACAACCATACCTGACTTGGTGGGTCAGATGAGATCAGTTTCCGTTTCCTTGGTGGTGAGTTAATGCCAACGTTCATTGCCACTATCTGGTGAAACCCTGAATATCAGCGACGTAGTTAACTATTCCTGAAAACTGGTGCAAGTTGTGCACAAATCGAGAGAGTGAAGTGTTGTTATCACGACACGTCTTCCTCCAAATGAATGAGTAGGACGACGCGTGAAGAAACATACCCAAACAACTTGAAAAACCCGATCACGAGTGATTAATTTTCAAGCGTGATATTTGCTGATGTTTTGAAGGGTGCAATGGAATCGAGACACCGGATTAGAATTAATCTTGTAAATGAAGACTTGTTGGTAAGCACTTGAAGTGAACGGCAATAATAACGTAACAACATTTGTAGCAAGGTCCCAAGAGTCGAGGAATGGAAACAAAGCTATCACCGGCAAATCATAGATTGTTGCTTCCCTTTCGGGGCGATTGTCAACGCTTTGTAGTTAGCTGGTACTAGCTGGACCTCCCAACATGCTTCATGAGTGTCCGGTCCCTGACTTTTCATTATGGCCCTTCGTCATACAATTCAAAATTCAGATTATCCATTGTACTTGGCCGGAAGGCAAGGTGATCCAACCCTCATGGAAACGGCCGATTGTCTTGTTTTCAAGGCATCCTTTCTAGCCGTCCGTGACACGATTTTATCGGTATATAAGGGGACACGACTTGCGCCGAAATTGAGGAATCATTCTCCACAACTCTCCAGGCAAAGAACTCTCTCCTAACCATTCACACCACCCAATAGTTCCACATTTTGTTTGCATACATCCAATTAAATTGACTGGTCAATCTAACTTGGCGCAACACTCTCGATAACCTTTATTTATCTCATCAATCAATTATTACTTCCTTCATAAACCCAAATAACATTTACAGGATGATGTTGATTCACATTTTGGGGCTAGTCTCTTTATTAGCCAGCCCGCCTGTTGCGCAAGCTTCAGTTCAGTCATTGAACGAGAGGAGGTAAGTGCTTATTGTTTTATTTCTGATCATCAATGGATTGCTGACCATCATGATTTTCAACAGTTTGGCTCCGCGTCATGAAGAATTCATAGCGGAACACACCAAAGAGGATCTGAAGGCCACCGGACAAACCGCTACGCTTGGCGAAGATAACCATGAAAGCTCTGCAAAGGTTCTGGTTAGACGGCAGGGAACCAAAACTGAAAAGGGTAACAAGGGCAACAATGGCACCACTACTACTACTAGTGACAGTGATAGCGATAATAACAATAATAATAATAATAATGACAAAGATAAAAATAAAAATGAAGGATTTCAGGGGATTTTCATCGATCCCGGCTCTCTTGGAGAGTGCAATAATCCCACAATAGTAGCAGGAAATGGTATGAATGGAAGGAAAGAAAAAGACTTCACTTTCATCACATTAGATCAGGTACACTATCAGCATTCTGAAGCATTTAGTGAGTAATCTTTGTTCTTTGTGTGATTTTAAATACATATTGAAGATTTTTTGTTCCTATTCATTTTTTTTGCAAACAGACTTGCAGATTATCACTAAAGGTAAGCCAGTTTTCTCCTGGATTCTGGAAGATGATTCATCAATGATTAAAATTAACAAAAAATTCAACCAGCTGCATGCGATAAGATGCTCAACTGTGGAGTCAAACAGAATGATCCTACTAACAAAAAGTGCAACGACTTGTCCACCAAGCTTGGTAAATCCTTAGGCCAAAAAGAAGGTGCTGTAAATTGGAATAAAGCTGTGAGTGACTTGAAAGTTCTCAATTTATTATGCAATTTGCTACCAATGTTGCTCACCACTGATGTGACATTGCAAAAATAACCAATGTAAAAAAATTTGGCACCTTTCACAAAAAATGAATGAAAATGAAGTTGTAAGTCCAATCTCTCTATGTCCTTTCAAATACATATTTCACCTAACTGACCTTGATTTTATAACAGTGGGCTTCCAACTCCTGAGGCACCAAAGAATGTACCTGATAAGAACCAAGGGAATCCTGGGACCAAAAATAACAATCCAAATTCACAGAACAACTAATAGGATTGATCAAAATCTTTTTTAAAAACAAATCAAAACATTTTATTGAATTTACAAGTAATTATTAATACAAGATTCAAAGAAACACCCTTTAATTGTGCTCAATTTCTCAAGCAATGGAAATCCAATTTTGATCTTTTGAGCATAATTTAAAGTGTTCCCAATCATAATTCTTTTGGAAATAATCATCCAAGCCAGACAGGGTGGGTGTGTTGACAAACAGGATTTCCACCCCCCTGGGCCCCTGCATGTTGGCTGAATCTAATCCATATGCTGTAGATCTAATATGTTTGATTTAACCAATAATTGCATTGGTCTCAAAGATTTTATAATAATCCATATTTTAACTGTTATTTCAACCAGATGTTCTTGTGAGATTTCTTTTTTTAGCTTAGGCTTAGAATGTCAATTAAATTTATCTGAATACATACACTGGATAAAAGTTTTGAAATTTATGAGAGGGTTTTGATTTTCCATTAAAGGAAGACTTACATAGCTGTGTGGGCTGACAGTTGTTTTCTTTGAGAATATGCCTGATCATTTGGTAGCCACTGAAAAGGGAACCAAAACTGCTTCCAAAATCCAGAAAAAAGAACTTGTTGAAATTCAAATACACAAATTAGATTGATCTATACATTCTTAACGAATAATGAAAACTTCTTGAGTGGGAAACCCTCCACTCCAGATTACATGATCAGATTGCTGAGATTCCCTGCCCAAGAGAATCAATTGATGATGAGAAATCAGTCTGAGTCTTTGTAAGTTTGGGAATCAAACATCTACAAAATCAATCAGGACATGTTCAATTGTATGTCAAAAATTTCCCAATCCAATCCAAGATTCTTCTTTTTTCTTGTTGTTGAAGATTAGAAAGCAAGATCATTTGTCAAAAGAAAAAGAAAAAAAGGAACAGGTCAATGTGGACCCTGATTTGATTGGATGATCTCTGAGAGCAATATGTGTCATCCCACCAAATCGTCCACATGAGCCCTCTCATTCCACCACAACATTGCTCGGCCTACAACAGTCAAGTCTGCTCTCTTGAGTTTGATTTTCATGTGTATTGTTGAGATTACCCACACACATGGATTTGGTGTTCGACATGGCTAGGATAGTACGACTAAATATGCTGGCTATCCATTGTTTTCAAAGGAAAAAAAAAGCAAGGAATTGACCAAGCCAAGCAGGATTATGTTGGATAGATTATAATGATCAGATCCAAGTGAGAAGGATGAGTCCTTAAATATTCCTAATCTGTGGTTCGTGGTTTAATCAGAAAGCAACCAGACCAAACAGCATATGAAACCATTACACACCCTTGACAGACAGAAGAAACTCAGTAAGAACAATCATAAATCTTTATCCCTTCTTTTGGCAAACACAAACAGTGATCCTGTATGTAATAGGTCCCCAAAAGTGCATGTGTGTGTGTGAAACCCCTAACTTAACTAAGTCCCTCTTTATTCGGAGGGGGGACGCCGTCCCGCAGGGACCCTCCCTCCGGCAAGCCATCGGATCAACTGCCCGGAGGGACTTAGTTAAGTTAGGTGAAACCCCAAGTTTGAAGATTCGTGAGAAAAGCGGAAGGAAGAAGCAAGGACAAACAAAACCTCAACACATATAATAAAAAAAAGAGGATCATTGCGCTACCTCATACAAGTACAACAACAACAATAATAATAACAACGAAGAAGCAACAAACCGAAAAGGCGAAAAACGAAGTACCGTGCTTCCAGAAGGTGATGATGCAGGAGGAGAACTTGGAAGTATGTAGACACACATATATATCAGACAAACTTGAGATAATCTATGTCTAATTCTAATATCCTCGAACTCTGAGACAGACCGCAAAAAAAAAGAAGAAAAAGAAGCAGATAACAAAGAAGAAGAAAAAAAAAAAAAAAAAAACAGGTCTATATCTATCCATGTATAGATTTTTGTGGTTGGTTTTGACGTTCAAGTTTATGAAAGAATGGTAGACAAGACAAAGCTTGGACTCTTTTTCGATCATAATAATAGTATGAAAATTAAGAATGAGAATAAGATGGATGAACGGGGAGGATAATGCGGGGAAGGATCAGGGACAGATTTGGAGGTCCGTACAGGCGGATGGTAAGGGCTCGTTGTGCCATGCAAGATGGCTATCGAAGTTTGAGTACCAAGCCAGAAAGAGAATATGCAAAGCAAAAGATCCGAGTCAATTTTTGTCGATTATTAGTGGACTTGCGGAATGGGGAGGGAAGGAAGGGCTCAAAAGAAAGGACGAACCAATTGTAACAGAGCGGTTCGATATCCTCTTTTTTATCGACGATCAAGCCGATAAACTCATTCTCACCCCCGCTGATATCGGTTGGCCAATACCTAGGCCCCATGATAGTCGATCCGAGGAGTTCAGAGGCGAAGGCGAAGGCGCCGTTGTCGACGGGGAACTTGCGATCCTGGACGGCCCCGGCCTCCCAACGGAGGAGGGTGTGATTAGAGGGGTCGTAGACCGGGCCTTCCCAGCCATTGGGGCCGAGGTTGCCCATCGGCCAGACCCCGATCCGTTGGACGTCCCAGATGATCACCAACAGTTCGGGCAAGAAGTTGGAGTCGTCATCGATCGAGATGATCGGTCCGTGGCCAAAGATCCCGTCTTGGGTCGGATCAGCGAGCCGATGGATGAGCGCATAGGCCGCATTCTGCTGGGCGTTCCCGAAGTGGTGGGTGGGCCCGTAGGTGAAGTAGATGTATGGCAGTCCGCTCGCCGCCAACTCCTGGGCCACATCGTTCGCCAACTTCTCGCCGTCCTCGATGACGATCCATATCAGCTGTCGCTCCTGGCCCCACCTCTGATGTCCTGGGCCCTCCGGCCAAGCTCGCGTCTTCATCAGCTCCAGATGGGTCCGGATCGTCTGGATGTGTCGCTTGAAGTACGCATACCGCAGGTGCTTCGTCCGCCCCGCCCAACTCGTCTTCGTGTACAGGTAGGCCGTCGGCCTCCCAGGCTTTAGTAGCTCCAAACTCCATTGGATTAGTAATGGGATGTCTGCACCCAACTCGGTCTGGAGAAGCAAATCCAACGCCGGCCCTTCGCCTAGCCAAGCATGTTGACAATATATATCCCGGATCGAAAGCTTCCAGAATCCAAAAAAAAACATTCCCGTCAAATCTCGGACGAAGGGGATAGTCCTCTTTGAGTAAAAATGGAGACATACCCAAACATGAGCCAACATCGATGCCCTCGTCCCAGTAGGAGTGGTGTAAGATGAGTCTTGGAGGAGGGGAGGACTGGTGCGATTGGCCTTACAGTCACAGTACGAGCAAATCGTCTTCGACGTCCGCAGCCGCTCTGGGAACTTGCTGGCCTCTAGCACCCGATCTTCTGCCAGATACAAGCCCGTAGGACTCCCTTGCAGCTGATATGATCTCAATATCGCTAAATTCCAGCAACATTTTTCGAGAGGAAAATCATGGATTTAGTGAGCTGGAGTTTGCGATTAGGTTGAGATGAAAAGGATTGGCTGCTCACCTACGATGATCCCACATATGAGGCTGATGATGAGGAAGAGCAGGACGAGTATGAACCAACGGGACTTGGCGGGCTTATTGAGGAGATACTTGGCTGGAGTAGTAGGGCTTGAGAGGGTGTGAAACCTTGCTGATTGAGAATGAGGAAGAGGGGGTGGAGTTGACAGAGAGAGAGAGAGAGGCGATGTGAGTAAGGAAGAGGGGAGAGAAGGATTAGAGAGAGGGTCAGTGTAAGAGCAGAATGTCTGGAGAGGGGAGAGCTGTCTTTAGGCACCAAATGATTCGGCTCGGGAGGCATGGTGGGGATGGCCGGACGAGTCGTGCAGCAATGGTTCGTGGATCGAGTTCTGGATCGGAGAGGGATGGTTGTAGTCATCCATCGAGATCCCATTGGGGCTCTCCTTGCCCTCCGAGGATCCTGGTCGAGTCATTCTGCTCCTCTGGCGGGATGGGAGTGGTGGTGGTGGTGGTGGTGGTTGAAGGGAAGGAGGCGGGCAGGGGGGAAGGGCGAGAACTCAAGCTGGGCATGGTCGAGTGGTCAACAGCTTAACTCCGTGGGAGAACAGCTTGAACGCAATCCAACTGCCCAGAGTACAAAGTGGAGCTCGATCCCAAAAATATCAACTGAAATAACTATTGGCAAGATGGTGGATTTCCTGGACAACAAAACAGTCTGCGGCTTAATGGTGCTGGAAGGGTATGGGACATACAACTGACGAATCTTAAATGATGAGTGATGATATACATGAAGAAAACTAAAATATCAAACGTAGAGGAAACAGAGCATAACAATTAGACTCTAGAAGAAATAATATGGTCCGGAGGGAAGGCCTAATAATATCCAACTGTAAAAGAAAAACAAATGGATCAGACTGGCAAAGACTGGAGAACTAAGAACAAGTGAGGGAGTACGGACCAGTATGGATGAGTTGATGAGGATGTTTCTCCATCTGTTTCTCGAGAATCTCTTCGAGATCACTGTCGAGATCCTTGCAAGCCTCGATAGCATTGCAGAGATCCAAGAGGGCCTTCCCCGCCAGACTAGCTTCCTCATGGTTATCCTTGATCTCGATGTTGATCAGATGGACCGGCTTGTTCAGCTCGCCCCCTCGACTGAACAGATCATCGCACACCGCATCAAAGCAGCGCTCCTCACAGGTGATCACCACATCCGCTACCCCCACCACACTGTCCTGCCATCGCTCCGGCGCTAGCTTCAGCTTCCGGTTCCGATCTAGCATCGAGAGAATCCCGTTGGCCGTATATCTGTTTTTTTTTTCCCCGTCGGAGTGTCCCAAATAGAGAAAGAGAGGTAACATCAACCTAACCTTTTCTTCAAGATTAAAAAAAGAAATATATACAGGATAATAACTGACAGCCTTTCATCCTTCTCTTTCAAGTCTTGATACATGTCATCGTAAGGAGTCCCGAAGGAATAAACGTTGGGTTTGTCGATAGCCGGGCCTGGTAAACGGACCATCGACCCCGTCCCAGCCGAGGTGACTCTAAACGCTTCCCTAGCCAACACATTATGACCCTCCATCGACCGATTCTAAAGAAGACACACTCACTATCAATTGAATGTCTAGAATATCACCCTTGATAAACGACTTTGGCACCAAAAAAAAAAAAAAAAAAAACGAACCTGATTACTTGCACAAACCACGCAGAAGGTGAAGTTACGACAGGTCAATTTGATATCACGTTCGTTCTCGAGCTTGCCGTTCTGAGCAGCAGAGGAGGGGACAGCAGCGGCGGAGGACGAGCCATCGGCGGCGACGGACGGGGGCAGGGCGGGGTGGTCGCCGACGATGGCCGACGGCTTGGCGGGGATCCCTGGTGCTGGAGGGGGCGGGGTGGCATTCGAGGCTGCTAGACGCGCCCGGAGGCGTGGGTCGTTCGTTGACATCTTTCGCTCCTCGTCGGCGGTCTTCCGGGTTGGCTTCAGCTCGGCCTGCCTTTTTTTATACCTGGGCTTCTGAACTCAGTTCTCCCCTGTGACATCCCCTCAGATACACACAACCATCCATGTATGCAACATGTCACACCACCCCAACCTTAAAACAATGTCGATCGCGCTTCGTGCGCTGGTTGCCGAACTTTCGGGACAAAAAAATGGGCCGACCCTCGCCGACCCGACAGATATGTACATGTTCGGCTCATCCACGATCAGACATAGGCCGGGCCTGAGGAGCATGAAAGCATGAAAGCCCAGAAAAAACAGCCCGAGAGAATTGCCGGCTTGATTGGTGCCAGCTTCTGATTGGACGAGGTTTTTTTTTTGGGTGGCTCTGGCCCAGCTCATGACCCGGCCCGCATTTGCATCCTACCGCCGCCCCGGTCAACAAGATTCCAGATCTTCTTCAACCCGGGAGGGCATTCTTGGAGATCGTGCACTCATTACATGGAATCGACAAACCCTCTCTGTCCGGCCCTCACCGCGAAAGGGTTCCCGTAGGAGACAGTCCCATGGGCAGCCATGCCGCGGGGGAGGGGCGTCTGCGCCAGTGCTGGCACAAGCCTGCAGAGCGAGCCGATCCCGCCGGTCCTATAAAACCTAGGCTTTAACTGCCAAAAGGTTTTGGAACCACTTTAAAGGGTTATTGTTATGGTATGTTCTGGAATCCTCCACAGATCATGTGATTGATCCATTGGGGGAGACTTCCTCGCTGCCATCGACACACCGGCCAGCTTTTGGGTGTCCCCCAACGTCGATTCTCTGGCGTTGAGAGGAACGTGGGCGTCCATCGACATATACCGACGATCCACACAGAGAGCGATTTGCGTGTCCCCCAACGTCGATCCTCTGTCGTCAAGGAACGT